TGTTTTGATATTAATTGAACACAAGTGTAAATCTTCTGCACTGTTTATTAGGGTTAACATTTCAGAGCTGGGTATTTGAGATAACACTTCTGGTGCTATTTTACAATATTGGGTTCAGTTTTAGACCATTTTTCAGTTGTTTTTTTTGTTGATGGGTTTGGATTCTGTACTCTAAATTGCATTTAATTAAGAATGTGACACATGAAGAGTTGGTTTCCTGTTGTGATTAATGATTTGGTTGCCTTTATTTTAAGTATTGTAGAGTAAGTATTGGAAAAATGTTAACCTCCATTAGTAAAATTTCTTTTGATTTCAGAAAATTTAATCTATTATCCTCTTTTTAATAATTAGGAAGTTGTTTTGAATAATTTAAACACTGAAATAGATTATCATTTTCATATTGTGATTTTAAATTGTGATGTGACTATATTCTCAAATCTTTAAATCGCAAATAAATGATTAAAAAGCCAAACAAATACGTAATATGAGATCCGTTCGATTTTAATAAAGATGCAATATATATATATATATATTTATTTATTTATTTATTTATTAAAACCGATTTTTTTTATTTTCTAACTTAAAAAGATATTTAAAATGAAGGGCCATAATGGCTTAATTTACTTAAAAAGATGAAATAGAAAAGCATTGCAAATAAATCAATAAATAAAGATAATTAGTGTATACATACAAACTCATACATATACACATTCACACAAAGAATTCTGTAGTTTTAAAAATGATATAAAACATCTTTCTTTCATTTAAATTATTTTAAGAAAAACAAAACCAGTAATATATATATATATATATATATATATATATTAAAAAAATCTGTTTATAATGTTAGTTTTATTCTAGTTTTTAATTAAATAAATTATGTTTTATTTAACATGATTTTTATATGAATATTATAATTATTGGATTAACAACATGGGTTTAATTATAGTCTTAAAATTATATATATATATATATATATATATATACATATTTATTTATTTATGAGTACTAATTTTAAAATTTTAAAATATTTATCATTTATTTTTTAATACTTAAAAAATATTAGTGTAAACAAATTAATGTTTCATTATTTATTTCAATAAATATTTCAAAAAGTATTATCTAACAAATCATAAGTTTTTCATTAACTTAGATATATGTTAAATAAAAAAAAGTTACATTAAGAATCTAAAGGTCACCATTTCCAATGTATTACATGTCTAGAAAAGCTTCTTAAAAATGTTCATGAGAATAATCTTTAATTCTAAAAGTTTTGTTGATCAATTTTAAATCTAATTTTAATGGGAAAATGATAATTTTTATTCTACCAACCTCTCTATTGCAATATTATGCTTCACATTTGAATTCCAAAAAAACCTTTTAACAAAATTTACAAAATAAATTATTAAATATTTATACCTATTTTTGAATTTTTACTTCAAGATTATTTTTTTAAAATTCAAAATAATAATGGTTACATTTCCATCATGAAAGGTATGTTCAACAATTACCAAAGTTCTAGTTTTATCTTAAAACAGTCAGCACCATTAATGCTTGCATACAATTCACTCTAATAACATGCTATAATAAAATATTATGTATGAATCAAAACATAATATATAAGCAGAAAATGACTACAAAAATCTATGTACAACAAAGACAATCAAGCAAGAAAAAAAAAATTCCCTCATGCCGATTGAGACTTCGCATCTAATAATTTAAACATGGATTAATTAGCAAGATAAGGTCCATAATCTAGTTTTATTTAATAATCAATATTGGAGTAGCATTTCATTCAAGGGAAATAGTCCATTCAACAAGTACATGATTCAAGAACAAATAGTCCCCAAGTTGTAAGGGAATAATCTCATCTAGAAATCAAGTACACCTATAGTTGGTATTTAACAAATAGCATTCAATTTGAGGCACATTGTCTTTTTATCATCTTTTTTTAGTTTAGTTTATTTTTATTTTTATTTTATGGATTTGAAATTCCTTTCATTATATATATATATATATATATATATATATCATGGTTGGCGATGTTATGGAGACATTCTCCTAATATTTGAGAAGATTTATATGTCTTTTGAATGAAATATCCTCTCCCTTCTATGGATGTAGACACAATGTGCGTACCATTCATCCATATAATTCATCCATCCATCCTCTTTTCCATGGGTTGCCCAAGTCACAAAAATGAATTAGCTTTCAATACAAGGAAGAAGAATACATAGAATATATATATATATATATATATAGTAAAATGAAGGAAAGGAAAACCCATTTGTGATTGCAAGATTTGTGATGGTCTTTGTTCCATTGCACCTCCATTGCATAGTTGGGTACTTCACTTCATGACCCCCCATTACAAACTAGGGTTTATCTTTTGTTGATGAGAATGCATATCAAGTTAATGATTTAAAGAGACTTATTCTTGTATTGAAAGGCATCTTTGAATATGAATTTGGAATTACTTGTCAAATGATGAGGAGAATCAAGATATGCTTTCCCGGGTTTGCTTTGGTGTTAAAATTCTAATTTAGATGTAGATTTTTTCCAGAATATTATATTCTCAAATTAAGAGAAGAGTTTTCATTGTGTAACTATCACTACAAAAATGTATTTTGGCATAAAATGTATTCTAATGTATTTTTCAGAAATAAAAAAAAAAACAAAAAAAACAATAACAAAAACAAATAAAACATGTTCAACATGTCAATAGATATAATTTTTAGTCAGAAATAAACAAATCATGAGATGATATATATATATATATATATATATATATATATATTCACTTCTTGGTTGCATTGAAATCGTTTTTTTTCAATATTAATTATTTCTACTTTGATTTGGAATAGAACAACTATAGTAATAATTACGTTATTATTATTAGGAGAATACCAAATCAATTCACTTATATATTAAATCAGTCCATTGTCAATGCATCACCAAATACAAAAAAAATGAGGAATTGGTGAGAGAGTGTGAATCTCTAGACAATGCGGGAGCCAAATAGAGTGGAGACAAATGAATTGATTTAAGTTTAAAGTGGGTTGATTTGATATTCTCCTATTATTATTAATATTCCTGTAAATGATATTTTAGGACATGATAAGAAGGAATATTCCTTGCAAAGAGAAGGAAACTATTGAACACTGAATGGAATTATGTAACCTGATATTGTGACCAATCTTTTATTTTATATTTACATATTCATACATGCATACATTTGAATAACATGAAAAAAGAGTGAAAAATAAATAAAATAAAATAAAGAGTTGGTAATTTAATAAATAAGTACAAATAAAATGGACAAGGAAGACAATTTTAATACTCCAAAGGGTTTGAAATACAAACATGATTTACATGGGTTGGGAATACATGGCAATAAAGGGGTGTGGTCAAAACACACCTCTCCATTGCTACATTAAACAGTTTGTGTCTCATTGCTAAAAAAGATGATTGTTTCCCTTCAAAACAACACACAAAGACATTTACTTATTTACATAACTTATAACATATGCTTTGAAAAGTATTTTCTACAATAGTATCCATATTTCTAAGACGTAACTTTAATTTCACTGTGTTTAATATGTTTTGCTATTTAAAATTATTTTCCTTTATTGTAATGTTTATATTTTTCATACTTTTTATTAAAATAATATATTTTTCTGGGGTTTAGCATTGTATGTATTAAGAACCCTACTACTAGATTTGAATATGATCTTCTTTGTTTCTTCTCTCAACTTCTTCTTCTTATTATTTTTTTTAAAAGATCTGTCAACTTATTATTTATATCAATAAGAATTCCAATATATTAGACGTTATTCTAACTCATTAATAATAAATTCACACTACTTTCTATATTTTAACTTTTCTTTCAACACATGCACCTGTACACAAAAGAAGAACATGGGATTAACACCAATATTTCAATCAGCAACAAAAAGCACATCCATGACTATAAAGAAGAAGAAAAAGGAAAAAGTCTAATAATAAATCAAAGTACATATTCAATATGTACGTTTGTAACCATGTTTGTATTTTTTATTTTTCCCGAAAAAGTAAAAGTAATGGAAAAGGGCGCACTTGCTTGAAAAGGAAGAATATTCCACAAAGCAGCCATGAAGTAGGTACCTACCTGCCTGCCTACCTACCGACCATCCGACCCACCGACGGATAGATAGACCAATCTTTCAATCCAAAGACGGCGCCACCATCCGCGTCACACCGCGGCACGTCACGTCACGGCGACGGCGAACGACGTCGGATGGATGGCGGCAGCGATAGGGGAATGGGGGGATTCGATGCTCACTCGCAGACTTAGAAACTAAGGGAAGGGAAGGCCATGGCTGGCTGGCTTCGCCGCATGATCATGCTTGCTCCGCAGCAACACGGCCTCGCCCTGCCCTGCTGCTGCTTCCGGCACTTGAGCCTTGAGGCATTGTCGTGTTGTGGCAGTGGTGCCGGTGCAGCAGCATCGAGAGAGAGTAGTCAGTCAGAAGAGGGGGGGGGTAGTAGTCAGAAAGGAGAGGGAGTAGTAGTAGTCAGAAAGGAGAGGGAGTAGTAGTAGTCAGGGATTTTGTCAGGGATTGCGCTACTGTGGCGCATGCAGACACTGTGATGACGATTGTGTCGTAGCTTCTCTCTCGCGACAGAGCAGGGAGGGGGGGGGGGATTCGCTCCGTGGAAATCAGCGGAGCCGACTTCCTCGTCGTCGTCGTCTTCGTCGTCGGCGTCATCATGAGGAGTTGTGTGTGTGTGGCCTTCAATTAGTACCACCCAGCCAGGGTTGGTGAGTGTATCCGCATCCATCCAGCCCTGCTTTTAATTGCGTCCAATCTCCTTAAGGGTTGTTTCTTTTCTTTTCTTCTCTTCTTTTTGTCCTGGCGGGGATGGTGGCGTCCCGTGGGTTTGAAGATCGGGGAGCTGGAGTTTAATGGCTCCTCCCGCTGGGTGACAGAGATTGGGGGTGGGACTCTCGGGGGCTGGGGGGCGAGAGAGAGAGCAGGCAATGGGAGTGTGTGCGGGAATAGTGGAGAACTAGGGCTGGAAGGAAGGTTTAGAACGCAGAGGGTGGTGGTGGTTGTTTCGTCCCTGTCTGGGTGGGAGTTAGTGATTGCGCTGGGCGTGTGGGGGGTCTGTTGGTATCAGGGTTCGGATTGGGAAAGCAATTAGAGCTTGCGGTTGCTTGTCTTTTCAAGGATATCTTGCTTGTCGGCTCAGGATCATAGGTTTGGATGAGTTCGTTCCTCTGTTTTGATTGCTGATGAATGTCTTTTTGATAGGCGTGATCTTTATGAGCGTCTTAGAAGAGAGTGTTGTTGGGTGATAATTAGTTTTGTAGCGTCTGCGAACCTAATGGTGTACCTTTCGGAGTTTTTCGTAGTCAGTAGACTAGGTGAGCGCAAACGTTCTAGAGCTGCATTTTCACGCACTAGAACTGGGGAAGTAAGCATGTTGATGGTACGAACAGGGTTTGTCGTGGAGAAATTAATCTTGTAGCAATGTCATAGTGCTGTGTGAGTGATTTCTAAAGAATACATACGACAGATCAGTCATAATTGTGTTTCTCAATCAGTGTTTGAATTAATAATTCGGATCTCGAGGTACTCCTTAAGGAATTTGCCCTGGTCTTTGGTGATGGATCAAGCGCTAGATTCCTTTGTGTCTTACTATTTACATTTCATCAAATATTCGGATGGCATTCCTGTAGTTAATCGCTGGACACACCGCCGCTTCATATAGCTTATGGAACTTTTACAGGAAGTTTTGGAGCTAGAGACGATCTTGTGTTGCAACCAAGCCCGCAATTCATTTCCCAAGGGTGTCGGGCGTGGTTTATCGACAAAGCTGAAAATTCGAACATGTGGCACTGTGTATTGCCCTGAAGTGCTTTACCTGATCCTCGAGAGTAATTTTTACGAATCTCAAGTGTCGAAGGTGTCGACAAGACTCGTGATCACCTGCAAATCGGTGTCCTCGGCACAAACCGTGGTTACATTGGTAGGTCACAACAGCCGTTGTGCTATTGTGTTCGTTTCCATGCTCTGTACGTTAGGCACTGGTGTGTCTGATATCTTGGCAAATGTGGGCAAACCCTGTTCTGCGTTTGGATGCAAACGTCACGTGCAATCCTTCTCTGGCAACTCAGATGTATGTGTCTGTCGTTCATGGACATTTGGATTGATTAGACGATTCGTCATTTCCTCACTGTCTAAGAGTTTTGCATAATAAAAGTCTAAAGAAAGGTCGGTCTGGTTTCATTGTTATCGAAGAAAGAATATTCACAAGGTTTCGCTTCCTGTGCAACATGTGATCTGAACCGCAGGCGCTGGTGAGGATGCCAGCAGGCACCTTGAATGTAGATCTGGACTAGACAGGTTTCGAAGACCCGAAGGTATTTGGTAAGCGAAATCTACCCTAATCTTTGTGAGTAAAGGTTCGGCCTTGCCAGCTTCTGAAAAACCATATTTGTGATGTTCCTCTAGAGTTCTCTTGAACTAGTCCCATGATTGTTTTGCTTCAAGCTTTGTGAATGCATTTTGCATTTAGTTCGCTTTTTTCTTGCTACTGTCTGTGTCGTTCGGCTTTCAGAGAATATCAAATTACAGTGGAGGAATTTGTGTATTCCTTTTTTATTTGTTTATCTAATTTCATTTGTTTGTTTTGTGCGCAAAGCTAAGTCTAGAAAATAAGAATTGTGTGTTTCGACCAGTGATTGCAGAATTTGTGCTGTAGGAACCTCAACAAAATTGAATGTGAAGGCAAGCCGAACCGGAGTCGAGGTGCTGCGCTGCTGAGCGGGGAGGGGTTCTGGTTCTGCTAAAATCCCATACCGTCCGTTGACGTTAATTTCCTCAGCTGTTGCAGCATATTACACGCACTTATATCCATTGTCACTATCCTAGGATAACAGATGACGGTGGAGCAATTCAGTGCGCTGTCTCGTAAGACGGCTGGGTCACCTGTCTTAATAAAATGAATTTTAGGGCTACTGTTTAAGCATTTGACAAGTTTCCTCCTCACAGCAGCGTTTCCTTGAGAGACATCTCAGTTGTAAAATAGGCGGATTCTATTATTAGAAATGATAACGAGTCTTCTGCTTTAGAGGGTACCTAAGCGTTCTGCACCGAATCCCACGTCAAGTTGTCAGTACGTAATTTCATCTCTTTAGTGTCTCTGATACTAGCTAGCCAACTTTACCTCCTCTCTCTCTTCCCATCCGTGTTCTAAACAACCATCGATTTCATCTTGAGATCTTCATGGACATCACCGAACCGATGTGAAACCACAGATTCGGACCCCCTCTGTAAGTTGAGCTACGCGGTCCTATTCTTCGATTTCTTTCCGTCTTTTGAAATTCCTGGTGACCCTTCACAGCTCTTCAATGATCATTTTCCTGTGCCCTAGACTCTGTTTTCTTTGAAATGTGCTGTTCAGTTCAAGGCCTTCGTGATTAACAATTATATTCACGTTTTTGTACAGAAATTTTCGCAGGGAGTGTAGTGCTTATCGTTATAGAGATGGATAGAGCAGCTGTAGAACCTCCCCCTCGTAAAGGCTCAGTTCTTGATGCAAAGATCTGGAACAAGCTGCCAGAGGAGCTTCTTGAGAGAGTTCTCCTTTATGTGCCTCTTAAAAGCCTTGTGAGGTTTCGTTGCGTCTGCAAAAAATGGAACATATATGTATTAGAAGACACTTTCACGGATCTGCGGGAACAAGTTTCACCACAGAGGCCGTGGATTGTGATGACTTCAACCAGGGACTCTATGTTTGCTTATGATTCCGGTAAGTAAGTCACACCTACCTCTACTACACACTCCTACAGCCCTTTGCTCTTTCCGTATCTTGATATAGCTGAGTTGTACTCAGTTTATCATCTCCAGTCACTGAATTATGTCCTCTCCCCTCTGACACGTCCACTCCTTTTGCCACAGGTCTCGGTACCTGGCATGATGTGCCCATCCCGTTCAATGCGTACAGCTTGCACGTTGTCGCAGCAGCGGGGGGTCTGCTCTGCTTCTCTAATGCATGGTTCCACTGGCCAATTATGTTCGTGTGTAATCCAATGACACAAAAATGGCGTCAGCTACCGCGCATGAACACGTGGATGATCTCCACAGTGGGCATGGCGTACGACGACGCCACTGCAACCTTCACAGTCCTCGTCTGTGGTCGGCTCGAGGATCATATCATGATCACGGAGGTTTATGATTCCAAGTCAGATGTGTGGACTCTCAGCGGCACTCCCTTCTCAGCTCGCAAATATGGAGGCGACATTTCCCTCTGGTGCGACGGTATATTCTACTGCCTTACTTATCCTTTCTCAACTCTCTGTCTTCTCTCGTACGACCTATCCCAGGGCACTTGGTGTGAAGTGCCAATACGTATGCCGTCACCAATCATGTCACCCGCTCTTGTAGAATCTAGAGGGACGCTTCTATTGGTTGGGGGCCTGGAGGAGCAAGAACTGTTTGGTATCCAGATCTGGAAGCTGGACACCGTGAAGCAAGAATGGCAAGAGTTGGAACGAATGCCCTTGCAGCTGTGCAAAGAATTTGAGGCGAAGATGGTACCCAGTAAGCCACTTTCGTGCTTCGGAACTGGAGACTCGATCTTCCTGTCCATTCCCACGAATGATTACATGCCTGCTCTCATGTATGACCTCCAGCGCCGGACATGGAATTGGTGGCCAGTGTCTGATTTCCCTGCCACGCTCCCTGCGCTCAACATAGGCCAATCTAGTGGCATTAGCTTTGAGCCACGCCTCAATGCACACGTCTGAACTCTGACGCTGAAAGGGCAACTGTGGTGGAAGTAATTTCAACACGACGATAGAATGGGATTGTCTTCTGGTTTAAGTAGCAACAGCTAAGACGGTGACTTGGGATCTGAACCCTAGTGACAAATTCGTACTTTTCAATACAACACTTCTTTCTTATCCAATTGTGGGGGGTTATTGTAGTTGGTTGGTTTCCTTTATTTCGTTCAATCAAGATCCAAGCATTTTGTTGCACCTCACTATCTCTGTTATCAAGGTGGCCCCTTTAATTAAAATTTAGAAAGAGAAGAATAATGTCTCGTGTGTTCAGGCCCCAAGTGTAGCTGTTTCTCAATGCACAGCTGATATAAGAATATGATATTTTATAGTATACCAGGTTGTGGTGGTCTGCACCCAATTAGGAGCCACGTAGGAAACTAGATGCGTAGCTGTGGTTTAGTTTCGTCATTCAGTTACGGAATCGTTACCAGCAAGAAGCTTGGTTGTATAAACGGTAGTCTACAAATTGTACGCAATAAAATATGTAGATTTATGAAATGTGACTTGGCTAGACTGCGTCAGTTGATCTGTGTCAGCCTTCAGTAGCGTTGGATTATCTCGTTATGGAATGTCAATGGAATCTGTGAGATTCTAATGATCAAATATGAAAGAATTTATAAATCTGAACCTGCAGCACATTTTGGCAGTGTTCTTTTTCTATATTCAAAACTGATGGTCTAAAGCTGTCCAGCTTTATACTCTGTTATTTAATAATTTTTTATACTACTTTTTGAGTTCTTGTAGAAATCATTTTTTCTAAGATGGACCTACTGCAAATTCTATGAGATAATATTATTCATATTGTGTAGGAAAAAGTGAATTCCATCTCATTTTTAAATTTTTTTAAATTTTTAATTTTTATCTCTCTTGGTCCTTTAACTCTTGCTCAAATTCTTTAATAATACAAATATTTTATAATCTCTTTTCATATGCACTCACATGCAATATTGTTTAAATGTTTAAAAGCCATTAATTAGACCTTATTTGACTTATTATAATTTAAATAGAACTATATAGTTGCATTTTAATTTCTCTTAAATCACATAATAAACCACTTATATGTTCTTCCAATCCATTTTTGAGGAAAAATAATGAGTATTTTGTTAATGTTTAATAACTACTGTTCTTAGTAACTAGGTTAGAAACTTTTCATAAAATATAATCCCTCTTTTATAATTAATTTCAAAGGACGTCTATACTCACAACCTAATTATTTAAAACAAATATCTCCACTGTTTTCTGTGTGTATCTCTCACTGAATGCAACTTTAGCTTAATTTGGAACATAGCCAATGACTATAACCAAGTAGTAATTGCAGTGTGTGGTTACAAAAAGTGGATTAATTTATTTACTTCCTGTTTTAAGATGCATCTATAAAAAAATACAAAGTTCATTTTGTGTGCAAAAACAATTACCTTTTACATGCTTGATATAACCCTCATATCTATTGAAAAACTTTATGCTCTTTTTAGATAGAATAGAGAAAAAGTGTTGATTCTTTTAATTTTAAATTTTATGTTCTAGATACCAAATATCCCATGTCACAACAAACAATGTATTTTTAGATATTTAAAATATAGTCTTCAATATATATTCTTTAAAGAGATGCGTTTGTTAAAATTTAATAATATTTATTGAAAAATAAAACTAATACTCATACCTATGTCAGAGAATGCAAGAGAGTGTAGGTGAGGAGGGAGTTAAATATAGCTAAGCTCTTGATGTTTGCACCTATGTTTTAGGATTTTATTTTTGTGTAAAGTTTTGTAAAGCTAAATAATATATTCATAATATCTCAATTAAAAATTCATGAAGATTGAGATAGATTAATTTATTCAAGGTTATAATATGTTTTTTAGTTGTATTTATTATAATGGTTATTATCTTTACTAGTTTGATACATTCATTAACACCATTTCAAAAAATAATCCATTATTGTAGTTGACATTTTTTAATTTTTTCTAATAAATATAATCTTTCAAAAATCTGATACTAAAATCTTAATTAGTTTCTTCTAGTGTGATTTAATCAACTTTAATTGTCATTTATGTCACCTTTTTGCCATTTCTTCTAGTAACTTAGGTAGAAATGTTAATAAGCTTGAGTTGTTTCTATCTCCTCTAGCCATACAGTCTAAATAATTTTATTGTTGTAAAATTTTATATATTTTTTGGTTAAACCATTAAATATTAGTTTTTTTACAATTTTAAAAATTTTAAAAATTTATATCTTAGATTACACATATGTATATATATATATATATATATATATATATACTACTTTGAAGCTAAATTAAAACAAAATATGTTTATTTTGATTATCCAATGATTTTCGAGCATGAAGTTCTAATTGCAATTCAAACAAACTTGGTACTTAACATCAATTTGCAATTATGTAACTCAATTGATTTAATTACACAATATTTTTATAACTAATTATGAACTATTTTATTTATCTTCCCAGTTATTATTATCTACATGTCTACATATTGTTATCTATATGTTTATCTACATTTTAACTTTCAATTAAAGCCTTAATTTTGGTATGGTTTAAAATTAAATTGTTGACTGTTTTCAACATCTCTTGATTAATCTGCGTTTGGAACTTAAAAGGACCACCTTGACATAACATGCTCCATTTAACTGTGATGAGCACAATTTAGTCACTAATTAATCCATTCACTTTTTTGATATTCCTATTCCATTTGTAGTCTACTTGTGAGGCTCATCAGCTCTGAGAATACTTAAGAATTTAATAAACTAAGAAAAAGCTTAGCCACGTTTTCTCAAAAAATAAAAATGAGAAATAAAAAAATGCATTGAAGACTAAAACACAATATCTATTTTATTTTTTTTATTTTTTTATTTTTTTTATTTTTATAATTGAATTACCCAAATAATAGAAATCTTGTAAGTGATTTAATATATATTTAGTATTTTAAAAGGCATATATATATATATACATGTATATATATATACATATATATTTATTGTTGATGTCACTATAGTTTTTGCTATTGCCACCAGAACTTGCCATGGACCATATGTAATCATATTTTTTTGCTAATGCCACTGCAAGTTGTCATAAACTTGTGTTACACACCACAATGCACTATATGAGGCACTAAAACATGTATCCATAGAATAATGTATATTTTATCTATAGTGGGGTGCAATGCAAGTTTAGAGTTGCTTGTAGTGACATTACCAAAAACTATAATGACATTAGCTAGCTATCTGACATTAGCAACACTTAATGTAAATAAGTAAATAAATACATAATTCATTGTGATATTAAAAGTTTTTTATTTTTAAATATGATAAAATTATACAAAGTATTTTTTATTAACCTTCTAATCAATTGTAAAATTTATATTAGCAATCAAAATTTCTCCAGATTCTAAGATTTTATACTTGAAGCAACCTATAATTTAAATCTTTAAAAAGCTCATTACGCTCATCACTTTGAAGATTTTAATAAAACATAATCCAATTGATTTTTGAATTGCATTCATTTCAATGTTAACTCAAATATCAGCATTAAAATTTATAAAAAATGCATGTGTGAACCATTAATGATTCAATCATTTTGTGTTTATATTTCATTTTTTAAACTAGTACAATTTTAATGTACAAAATTTTATCTCTGCTTCAGTGTTTTCTTTTTTCTTTTTTATTAGGATTTAGTTTATTTTATTTGCTAAAATTCCAAAATATTTTTAGAAGCACACTATCTATCACATATAAGTAAATCCAACATCAAAAACAAAAATCTTTTCTAGAAATGAATTGATCTATGATTCTAACCATGATTTTCTATTAAAACAAAACAAAAGATATAATTCCAAAACCAATAAATAAGAAAATAAGAAAATACCACTTCCATTTTTTTATAAAGTCTTTAAAATAATTAATAAACGAAGGCATAATAAAATTGGTTTAACAGTAGTTTACTTTAAAACAACAAATTTTACACACATCCTTGTGTGTCTGTGTCTGTGTATATATATATATATATATTTTTCTGAAATTGTTCACAAAGATATTATAACAAAAAGAAATGATAATTAACTAAAATGTTGATTTTTCAGAGAGCTAGTTAACAATGAAAAGATGAATTAAAAAACAACATTCTGGTGACTAATCTAAAAAGCTAATTCATGTTCTTATTGGCGATATTCAACTCTTTCTGACATATTTTTGCAAACAATTTATGTCTCAATACATATGCTGAAGAAGATAATTAAGATTAACAGTGTAGCAGTTATACTTTGTAGTTCCATGTATTTGAAGTTCCATGTTCCAATTCATCCACAATGAAACTATTCGTAGATTTTTTCACCTTAAAATCATGTTTGTTATATGACTTGATAATTAATTAATGATACGTTTTTAAAAATTGATTTTATATTATTTCAGAAAAGAAAAAAAACATTTTATTATGCATGTTGTGTATGCTTCATTTATATTTTAAAAATTCTTATATACATCGATTACACTTAAGTATTTTAACTTTAAATTTGCATGTGAAAAACATCCACAAATGATCAAAATATTACAAACATATAAATATGAATCTTTTTAACATAAGAGGATCAATAGGACTTTTGTAATATATATATTTGTTATATTTTTAACAATGGTTCTTATTGGCACTTGTGAGCTAAATTTTCAACCTGTACCAACTTTCAAATGTTGTCAAAATTCACTGACCTTTTATCAAAAATAAAAAGAGAAGTAAAAAAGAAAGGCCAATGGTTGTGAAGCAATGGTTAGTGTCATAGTAATTGAATGTCACACTAATTCACCAGATATATATATATATATATATAGATATCAAGACATATGGAAACATAATCATTTATTTCTCCATTCCTGAAAGTGGGTATGATATTACAAACAACTTTAGAATGGAAAGATAACATGTATTATCCAACCTTGGACATGAACGACATACAAATAAGAGGGAGAAACCCACTGTCGGTAGGGCTTGTGCCAAAACCCTACGCACTTTCTTAACCCCGTTGACCTTGGAAGTTAACGAATTGATTGGAAGGTTCCACGAAAGTTCTTGGAAACACCAGCGTAATTCCTGCACGGGACTGATAGTCAAAGCTGGTTCAGACAAAGCACACGCTTGGAATTGTCGGTGCCAGGGGTTGCTTTGCACCACAACATTTGCCCCGAACTCTGCTCTCGTCAATTCACACACACACACACACACATATATTTATATATATATATATATAGATCTGTGTCAGTGTGTGTGTGTTTTAAGGTGAGTCGTCTCATTCTTTTGGAAGTGTCGGAAACTGGAAGTTGTCGGATCTGTCGGCATCGATCATGCTCCAATCTCCATGAGTTCAGTGCTGAAACGGACTGACCAAGGGAATAAAACAGTGCTTTTCAAAAAAAGGGTAGGTTGTCGTAGATACAGCTCTGTGGAACCTAAGGTTTGGCAACTATCACGGTTTTCAGGGGGGGTAGGGGGGGGGGATTTACCGGCAGATTATTTGGGTGTTAATTTCAACAACTTTGTGCACCATCAGTCACATGTTAGTTAAGTCGACGTTGATTCTACTAGGCATTTACGCTCAAGGATAACCTTGCAATGAATTTGATTACACGTAGCTGTCTAATTGGTATCTCAAAGCTTGGCTTTCGCTGACGGGGCATCCAAGTTCTTGTTATGAGTTCTTCAGAATAAGTTTTATTGTTGGAGGCGATCCAAGGATTAAGCTCAGAGGACGAGAAAAATACTTCTTTACCATTATGTTTTCTGCAGCTGATGTAGCTAACCCAACATTGGGCAAAAGGTGTTAGAACGGCTTGTGGCATTAATTTTTACGCATTTTTTCAACTGGAACTGAATGTGGCAGGTACCAAAGCAGTGAAGCTTGTCGCGGTGAGGCGTTCACCGACGATTACTTCAGCAATTATAATGGAGCAATTATTTTTTTCAAAATCTCTTTTCTTTTCCTCTAAAATCCAATTGTGTAAGTCGAGTGTTGTAATCTGTGATAATAAGATAAACTAGATATAGAGCGAAGTCTATCTAGTTTGTGCACTCTCTCGGAATGACAAGTGCAAATGTGTGCAGGAATGCGCGGACTGCCTCAGGTAGACAGACAGAGCTTGAGTAAGCTTTCTTCGCATTTAGTGCTGGATCATGGGTGGGAAAGCGCCCTGCGTCATGGTGCTGTTGAGCAGGTCTTTTGTAAAGTAGGTATCAACTGCAAGGCTTGTGTTGTGCCGCATTCTAACTATCAGATATATCTAACCTGAATCATTGTACAACTTGCACAGCCTGACTCGCGAAATCGTTCCTCTTGTGCCCATATGTAAATCTATTTGGTTCTGTTGTGCGCAGGATATATGTGGCGAAGGCAGGGAAAGGTATCATTCACTCCCATTGAGGTCGTGGGAAACGATGAGCCGATGCTAGAAACTCTTTGTGATGTAGTCGTTTGTATAACAGGCCGCTTCACTGTATGATTTAGAATGCTTTTCAACGAGTATTTTCACTGGATGTTGATTCACATATTCTGATTAGTCACTCGTATCAACCAGATGCTTCTGAGCATGAATAACAGTGTCTTTGATTGAGTTCATACAAGTTTTCTAAAACAGCAACTTGTGTTGCCATCCAAAGTTTTGACCTGTCACGTGCAGATTCCGATGTTATGCGGTCACCGTAGACAAAGAGTTGCTTTGGTACCTACGAGCTCAGATGACCACGCAATCTTGTTCTGCAACTTGTGTCGGTTTCACTGCTGGTGAGACACAAAGGCGCACTCACAGAGTAGTCACCACATCTCCGACACGGCTCACTGAACCCACTGTTGTTCTGGATGGAAACCTTTGCCCCAGGAACAACAGAAGCACGCACCCTAAGGCAACCGGATAAGCCATGTTGGAAACAGCGCCTCTCCGACGTGGGAGCCTGTGTTATTTTTGTGTGTGAGTACGTGTTTTGGTTCCTAAATCGACACAAACTAGAGGAGTAGGAGGCACGCAGGGAACATGAGAGAGACTGACTCGCACGAACGTCACGAGGGGGGAAAGTCCTCTTCCCTTAAATTCAAAAGCCGTGGCGTAAAACTGGGGCACTCGGAAACGGTGCAGCCCAGGCACCGTAAAGCTCGCTGCGAAATTGGTTCCTCTCAAGTGGGCGAGAATCCTCGTCCTGCAACGGCCATGCTGGCTCCGTGCGAATCCGAATCCACACATCACCCACACCGATCTCTTGCTATTTTCCTCGAGTTCTAGAACCCCGCTGACATCGAAAGGCGGAGGAAGTAGGTGAAGCTACTCTCTCCTTCTTTTTGTTGCTCTTTATGACACCGCAACGCTTCCCATGACTGTCGATCACATGGCCTCCCTCCCCCATTTTATTTACTTGCACCGCCCTGTGTGCAATCCCAACGGAAAAACCGCCACACCTTCATGTGGGTGCGCATGAATGAGCATGCTTCCATCGAAGCTCTGCCATCGCTGCTCCGTGTTGGTGCATTTTTCCTCACAAAGATGTCATTTTTGTTTGTGGAGTCTGTGTTTTTCGGAGTCTGTGCTGAATTGGGTTTCGATCAGAGCCTGTTCACTTTTGTGTTGGTTGTGTGAGCTCTTGGTGGTTGGACTTGGATCCACTTTGCACTCACCTGATGACAGTTTTGTCTACACCATTCTTTTGCTTTTTTGTTTGTTTGTATATTTGTTTGTTGTCGTTGTTGTTGATATGCATGATTGACATGTTGTATACTGGTTAGTTTCTTTTCATATTAATATGTGTTTTGAAGTGATGTGATTGTTGTTGAAGTTTTATGTAATGGCATTTGTTTGCATGCTTCTGAAATATTGGAGAAGCCAGAATTATTCTAAATTGAATTGTGCTGTTATTCAATCTAAATAAGTATTAAACCACAGTATTTTGCAAAATTAAGATAAATCGTACATATTTTTGTACTTTTAAAATGAGTAGTTCATTTGAAGTTGGAATGTGAATTTTAGTAAAAGAAAAACAAAGAAAAACTACAGCGAGGGTTTATACACATGATTCTATGTTTTTGAAACAGTGAGTATGTAAAAGTTTATTTTGAATATATGTATTGAAATAGTCAATCCAACTTGATCAATTTATAAATAAATTACTATCTACCGTTTCCAATAAAATTCAAAAATCGATTTGATCCATTCAAAGCATGTTGTGGTGCATAGCTATTTGTATTTATTAGTCTTGAAGTTCGTGTATAAACTGGATACACGAACGAATCCTCAGTTGAATTCATTCATATATATATATATATATATATACATACACACATATGGCGCTCCTAATGTTACCAAAAAAAAATCCTCTTACCATCAAAAAAATTTCAACTAATTTTTTGTTAAAATTAAAATTTATAATCTGTACAATTTTTTTAAAAAGCATATTGAAAAATAATAAGTTTACAAAAAATATGTCAAGTAGATGGTGGGTTATGGTGACAATAGCAAGACAAATTGTGGTGGGAAGAGTAATATCTTGTATATGCATATGTAATCCTTTTTATACCCAAGTGAGACTTAGACTAGGCTTTGACCTAAATTTTGCACAACAAAGAGACTCATTATGGACAGATAATTGGATTTCATTATTTCTTTTACCTATTGTTTTTGTTAAAATAGTTTATCTTTAAGCAAGTTATAAAGATGGGTTCTGCCCAAGGCAAGGCAAAGTTTGCAACTGTTGTGTAAGTCTTTTGACTATAACACTGGCTGATTCAATTTTTTTTCTTATTTATTTATTAATTATTTTTTTCAATTAACAACATGTAACAAAAAAAAAAAAAAAAAAAAAAACTCAACAGTGCGATTTTTATTTTGAAAAAAATAAAGAACTGGTAAGAAACATAGACAAGCACTACCCAAAAAATGTCCAAAAGTAACGTAAATAGTTGCAATATCTCTATAATATAATGACTAGATAGCTGAATCCGCATCTAAAACAGCATCGGTGTCTGTACCATTTGTTGGTTTTTTTCACTCCCCTTAATTAAGTAACGCCTCACCCTTCCTTACAGCTAAAAATGATAACAATGAACAAGCAAGTCAGTAAATCATCATCCATCTTCAGTGCAATGTTTACGCTGTGACAACAGCAACAACAACAATACACACACAGACACAATGGAAGCCGCATTCGAAGCTCCATGACTGAAACAATCAAGCATCTGAAGTCGATGAAGCTTCGGAAGACCATTCATCGGTAGTACAAACTAAACAAACAAACAAAAAAGAAAATGACACCAGAAAGTGTTCCAAAACCGCAAGTTTGGAAGATGAAATGGGCACTTTTGAAGACGGAATCCGTGACCAGCGTTATCGAGATTGTGGATCTAAGACCACGAATGGGTCGGAATGGAGAAACCGAAGCCTTGATGTGATCGAACTGAGCCTTTGATCAAAAAGCGGTAAAGGCGCTGATCGGAGGTGGAGTGGGACGCAACCATGATCGGCGGTGAGCGCTTGAGGAAGCGTTTTTTCACGACCAGATGGCAGCTTCGACGAGGGGTTCCTCCCTCACTGAAAGTCTACAGTTGGGGTGGTGCCGCTGAAGAGCTGGGTCCTTTCCCGGAGGTTTAACAGAAGCTGGGCACTGCATTGACATCCACAGCAACCAAACAGCCAGCGGCGTTTGCTTGTTGGGCACTTTTGTTTCAGTGGCTCTTATTGGTATTATAATAGAATTTCTCGTGTGTGTGTGTGTGTGTTTTTTTTAGGTTCTGGCCATGACGCCTTTTGTGGAAATCGCTCAAAGTAGGTATAAAAGCCGCGTCGGCCTACTCTTGGCAGTCTCCAGGGTTCCCTCCTGCGGAAGGAAAGGACGCACGGGGTTCTATGCCTCGCATTGTAACGTGTTTGGTGCTGAAGGACGAAGAGGAGCAGGAGGAGCAGGAGGAGGAGCAGGATATGGGAGAACAACACCTTGCGCTGTGTCCTCCAGCTGCCGTGTACATTCCGCACATGCCCCTGTCTCGAGTGATGGATGGCTCATGAAGACGAGGTTCGGCTGTGCAGGGCATCGCGTAGTTAGAATCGCAGTGTAGAGGAACAGAGACGGCGTTGCAATGATGCCTGGATATGGAGAATTCGGTTCTGGAATGTCTTCGACGCTGCTTCGTTTGGTTTCGAGACGCTCTAGAGATCGCTGTACTTTGCCAACCTGTCGCGAGCGCAGATAGTGTGAAATGATTTTTTTCTTTTTTTTTCTCTTTTTTAAAACTGTTAGTGCGATTTTGCTGGTTCTGGAGGGATGATGAACTGTAATGGGGCCTGGGGAGGATGCGTTGTGGGTCTTGAGTTGGCGGGTTATCACTTGGAGTAAGAGCGAAACCTAGAGGTGCGAGAGAGAGAGAGAGAGATGAACATTGTGGAATTTGGGGATGCGATCCTCGTATCCTTCCGCACAGCTATGGTTCTTGAGAGCAATTGATGTTGTGTCTCGAAGTGGGAGGCCCGTAGTCTCCAACCCAGGACGCAATGAAATATGGGCAATTGTGTGTGGTCTTCCCTCTTATACGATTCTTCTCTAACTAGTAGGCTTGATGCTTCTGTGCACGTTACAGTAGTTGGGCACGGGTAGAAGGTTTCGAGCAAGTGCATTTTATGTTGAATCGGCGGTGGAAAATTGTTCGAATTGGAAAGAGATCTTCAGAGATTAGTCAAGAAGCTAGTTCGATTGGTCTCTCTGTAGTGTTACATCCTTTTGTTCTCGTTTGAAAGGCTTGCTGGGAATGTGAGAGTCGCGCGATGTGTTCTGAAATTCAAATTTGGAGTGATCTCTATTAGCATAGTTTCCCTTTCGTTGTGGACATACCTTGAGCCTGCACCTTGGTGAACGCTTCTTCGTGAATCTAGTTGCGGCGGTTCCTGTGTATGCTCTTCCTTATCAATGGAAAATTCGAGAGTGTCAATGTTAGAACAAAGCTCAGATGTTGCCAGCTCGGTTCTCCATTCTTCCGAGTAGGCATATTGTTCCAAAGATTGGTTACGATTATAGATGCCTCTCGAAATTACCTGTGTAGGATCCAATTTTTTCAAATGCATTACCAGGAACTTATAGATTGTTGGTGCCCAGACTTATAGGATTATTGTTTCCGACTCACAGGATATAGGATTTGTTGGAAGGGCCTGGAAGAAAACAACAAGTGTATTTGGAAGGAAATGAAGGTATGAGAGGACTCAATTACCACTCTTCTCGAGCTCGTGGTGAAATGGACCCAGATATTGGGAACAATCTACCATTACTATATTACAGGATAAGCTGTTGTTGTTTTCCGATTCCTCTCAGAGCTGGCTCCTGGCAATCGCAGGAATATTGTAGAGTAGTCCTCATCTCCTTCACCACGGATGTAAGGATGGGCCGGTGTGGTCTAATTCGGGAGCTTCGTTTGAACACATGATTAGAGTGGACATTGGCCCACTATCCAGCTGATTTTCCCACTTAGATTCTTCATCTGTTTCTGTGCAGAGTGCTCGGAAAACCCGTGGTTTCTTCGTGGAACAAGTTCTGGATCAAAAGTGGCCGTTTCTCTGGAATAATACTGTCTGAAAAGAACAGCTGTGATGAGATTCTGGCTGGAAACTCATATTTTGTGAGCAAGGTCTTGCGAACTCTGACCTCGTGTATTCCCACGAAATGAAGCTACACGTGCATGTGCTGGAGGCTCGGGATCTTGCAGCTCGAGATCCAAATGGTCTCAGTGATCCCTTCGTACGCTTGCAACTAGACAACACAAAGACCAAATCGGCTGTAATCCTAAAGAATCTGAACCCTGCGTGGCACGAAGAGTTCTTTTTTAACGTGGTTGGTTGTGATGAGGAGCTGCTTGTAACGGTTTGGGACGAAGATCGATTTTGCAATGATTTTTTGGGTCAATTGAAAATTCCTATTAGTGACATTTTGACTGCCGAGAAGCAGACCATCACCAGACGGTGGTATCCTCTTCAAAAGCGCAGTGAAAAATCCCAACTTCCAATTACTGGTGAGTACGGATTTTCTTTTCGTTTATTGTATTCAGACTTTTCTAAGTCACTTTCTAATAACCTTGTAACTTTTATACTCAATCGGGGACGTTAGATCATTCGCTGCAGTACGTGGGCTCATGACGCAACTTAACACTATTGCTTATTTATAATTAAAAGAAGGTGGATCCCTATTTAAACTTCAATACTTAGTTTTGCAGAATTTGAAATGAACAATTCGAAATCGACAACCCTGCACTGTCTGATTTTTGCAGGAGTCATTTACTTGGTCTATTACATGGCAAAGGGTATTGTGTGGTGGAGGAGTAGAATGTTTGCGTCTTCATTGTTGATCAATCGTCAGCTAAGTTCGTTCATTGATTGAAAGCCTTTGGGGTATTCAGCTACTACCAGGCTGCATGTCAAGTGTGTCTAAATGGAGGTCCAAGTAACATGTATTATGTCTTATTGACAACGTTCTCCTGTAAAACAGGCGATATATTACTTAGTCTCTCTTTGTTCGGAAAGGATGTAGCAACCGGCCCAAGACTTCAAAGGTGGATTCCTGAAGAGAGGCTGTCAGTATCTGAAAATGGTGCATACGAGTCTTCTCCAACAAGTTCCATGGATACGAGTGATAACTGGATGGACACATCCGGTTTTATGGATGTTCCCGCTCCTGTAAACTTAAGGGTATGATAATGAACATTTACAAGGCTTTCTGAACGTCAAAAAGTATCAGGTTTGCGAAGCAATTTACCGATTAGCTGTTTTGTGCTCACTGCGTTCGCGTGTCTGTCTCCAAAGTGCGCTCAAGTTGTCGGGTTCTTCTCCTGTATCCAGGGGTTTATGTTTTAAAAAAACTGCAACATATGGACTGGTTGTGCATGGTTGTTTAATCTCATACAAGCGGGGTTGCGTTCGGTGGGGTTTGTACTGCATTACAGAAGTTTGGTTAGCTCATTGTGAAAGACTTCTTGTAGCTCATCTTGTATATTTCGTCTATTTCTGGGTCGAAGCAGGCAACTTGGCCTGGAACTACTCAATGGAATCAGGATGAGGGCCTTTCGAAAGAGCAGAATAAGGCTCCCAAGACTTTAGCAGACCGGTTCACTGCTGTTTTCAATAAGAAGGGGAGGTCGGGGATGGACGTAACTTCCAAACATGGCGGGGAAGGGTCAACGTCTACACCGAAGTTCAGCGACAGGTCGGTCTTGCAATGCTTAACACTGATAGGTTGTAGTTTGGTAGGGGAGAGTCTCGAAAATATTATTCATTATTGGATAACAGCTAGGTGTCCGAATCCAAGCTCCCCAATTTCCTAGAATACAAATGTAATTCTCAACGGGTTTCCGATCCAAAGCTTCTTATGGGTGAGTAATTTCGTGTAGGAGTTTGAGGAGTTGTCATGGTTCCATTGCTGAAAGGAACTTTTAGAGGGCTGCAAGATCCGGATAGTGTTCCTGTTCGGTCGATGCATCTGTTATCGTACGAGATGTAATTGAGTTCTGGTTCACAAACCTCAGACTCAAGAAGTGGTTAATGGTCCTCGTTATTTTGCAGCGGATCTGTTCATAGTCCGGATAGATTTCCAGAAGCGGCTGAAGCAAGTAGTGACGATGAGATTCACACATTGGTCACTTCATTCTTCGATGACGACGACAAGAGTGTGGAGGCATCTGTCGACGATTTCCCTTCCCCTTTGGCCGGTGGAGTGGTGCTAGATCAACGATATGCCATCAGTGCTAAAGCTTTGAGTTCGTTGATTTGCAAGCCCAGTTCTTCATTTTTTCAAGAGTTGTTGACTGTACAGAAGACAACCGAGTACTCGGAGGAGCCCTGGAAGAGCGTAAAAAATGACAGCATCGAAAGAGTCGTTTCTTATATGAAAGCTGCAACAAAAATAATAAAATCTGTGAAAGCCACTGAAACACATACATGCAGGAGGCTGGATGACAGAGGTTTCGTTCTTGACATAAGCTGTGCTACTCCAGATGTACCATGCGGAACCAGTTTTTTGGTCGAGCTCCAGGTTTGTTCTTACAACTATTTTAATGCGCGTTATGTCATTGCTCAAAAAGTCGCATACTTAGTTTTCTTTAGTCTGAGAGTTAGTGCTTTTTACACAAGTATCAGGAACTGACAACTCTGTTGGACGTTTTGATGCTTCCAGTTTTGCGTAATGGCGGAACGCGATCTACCCGTTAAAGAGAAAACTTGTAGATTGCTAATATCCTGGAGAATCAAATTTTTGCATTCAACAATGATAAAGGGAATGATTGAGAGTGGTGCTCGCGCTGGCATCAAGGAAACCTACGAAATATTCAAAGAGGTCGATGCATGATATGTCGCCACTTAGCATGTTGTACCTGACATTTGTATTGATTGATAATGCCTGATCAATCTTAGGAAGTGTCGGCCTAGTCGTAATCTTAAGAGAACTTTTTGCAGTCATGACTTCGTGCATAGGTAACGTGTACTTTTGTGCAGTTAAATAGTCTTATTAATGGTTGATCCAGATGTTATTCGTTGCATCGTGACTCGTGATAATTCTGGATTGATTGCATGTGTTCCAGTAATTATGACTGTTTGTTTTCATATTGCTTTAATAAATAGCGAATGTTGACAAATTACTTTGCTCTGTGACTTGATTGTCTTTTGCTACTTTTGGTGCTCGTGCTGTGTTCAGATATATATATATATATATATATTCAATTTCTTGATTAAGTTTTGAAAAAGTTAATTAAGTTTTGATTTATTGCAGATCTTATCGAAGTACGCCAAACCTATTTCTGAAGATTCATGGGGAGGCAATTTAGTGCCTGCAACTCAGCAGGAAGATACTCCGCTGAGCGATTGGGAGTTAGTAAGATGTTACTTTGGAAGGTTACATGTGCTACTGGCCTTCTTGTCGTTGATCATTGTGCTTTTGCACATTGGCTTTGCAACCCCTAAAGTTAAGGTGTCACTTTTACGGTGCGGCTTCGACCTTCCCGATTCGATATCGGAATTTCTCTGTTCAGCCATTGTAGTTTTGCAAGTTGAGAGGGTTGTTAAAATGGTGCATCAGTTTCTTCAAGCACGATTTTGGCAGTGTAAGTATACATGTTCTTTTCTGAGTTATACTGAATATGATTCTCTTTTTCTTTTTGGATGATTTGTCAGTGTAAATTAATACAAGAGTCATAAGTGTTTTTAATATTTGTATAAACTCTATTCAACTATTTTACAATGTTATATATGTTTTTGAACGGAGAATAGTGAAGTCCAGTTTTCTTAAGCACCACATCGTAGACCTTGACAAAATTCGTTTTGAAGTGAACAAGTTTGATCTACGAATACCTCTAACACTTTGGACGAATGAATGAACGCTGTGCTCAGATTGAAATTATTCAGCTTGTACATTGTTTGCTTTTGCAGCTGGCGACCATGGGGTGAAGGCTCAAGGCGATGGTTGGCTTATGACTGTTACATTGATTGAAGGAGAGAATTTGAGCCCTACTAAAGAATCTAGTTTTGCCAATCCGTATGTTGTTTTCACTTGCAGTGGCAAGAGACGGACTAGTTCTGTGAAACTAAGAACCCTCAACCCATGTTGGCGTGGTACGTCTCTTATCACTTGTTCCTTCATTGTACTTCTTGGGTTCTGCCTGCTAGTTTAGTTTTTCTCCTGCACAGATGGCATAGTTCTAGGACTTACCCTATGGTTTGCGATAATTGCAGAAATCTTTGAGTTTGATGCCACAGAGGATCCTCCCTCAACCATGGATGTTGAAGTCTTTAACTACGATGGTCCATTTTCTGATGCTGAATCACTTGGCCAAGCGGAGATAAACTTCTTGAAACAAAGTCCGGATGATCTTTCTGATTTTTGGGTCTCTTTATCTGGAAAATGTGCTCGAACACATGGTTCAAGGTTGCATCTTCGAGTTTTCTTGACAAATACCAAACAGTCTGATGCTCTACCCGAATACCTTGAGCGGGTTCAGAAGGAAGGGATTAAGGTAAATCTCCTTAACTTTACGACTCAGCTAATATTACACAGTTGCAGACGGCATTAAATCGTATAAAGTTCGTGGGTATTTATTCCATGTGCATTTTTGTAATTAATACCATTTTGCTAAAAACTTACGTGAACAAGTTGGGCGTCCGAGTGAAGACCTAGTTCTAAGCCGGTTATCTTTGTTTAGGTGGTCAAGCGCTCTGCTCAGAAGAATGGGTCATTTCAAAAACTATTCTCGCTTCCAGCTGAAGAGTTCCTTATCAATGACTTTGCATGTGCCGTCAAGAAAAAAATCCTCATCCAGGTCCGGTGCTCTTGCTTTTTAACACTCACGTTGATTGTACAGTTTACGCAAGTTCAGCTGTAAAATAATCTCTGACTACGCGCACATAAGTGAGGTTGCTACTTATCTCATTGGTCTGAGTATCTGCTCTGACCACCCGAGAATCTGAAAAATTCATGGTTTATGAATTGGAGTAGATTTGTTCAACGCATCTCACGATATTCGGCGGCTGGACATATTTGCTCTGAGGCCGTTTCATTCATTTTTTTTGTTTTTTGTTTTTTGTTTTGTTTTTACTAGTGCTGCAGGGTCGAGTATTTCTGTCACCGAGGATGTTGGGCTTTTACTCGAATCTTTTTGGCATTAAAACCAAGTTTCAGTTTATATGGGAAGACATCGATGATATCGTGGAGACATCTGTAGCTATCAACCCCTGTATAGTTATTTATTTGCGTAAGGGGCGAGGTCTTGATGCCCGAAATGGTACGAGAGGCATCGATGCTCGCGGTCGTGCGAAATATCACTTTTGTTCATTTGTCAAGCCTATTACCGCTTTCAGGTATAATTCTTTGCCATTATCACATCCGTCGTTGTCATAGTAGCTATGCGATGTCTTTATAAGTAGTGCAGATTCCAAGTTACGCTGCAGAGCACTAGTCAAAATACAAATCAAGCTCTCACCACGAGTCTCCTATTTTAGTTTTTGTTTCTTGTGTTTTTGAAGTCTTCTGTGGTATTAGTAAGACCATGTGTCGTGAAGGACTTTCAACCGAAAAGGAGGAAGCGTTGTTAGGGTCCTTTGCTTTGGTGGACTAATCTACCACATAGCTCTGCATAAATGTGGATTTTTTGCAAGTTGCAGAATACATTCGTGTCAACTATTTTCCCCCTAAATCAAGCCAAGGAATAAGATATAACACTCTCAATTCAGAGCATTTCATAGATTGCCAGGAGGGGAAAATTATAAAAATTCATTAGTATTTGACAATGGATTCTTTGGTCTGCTTTTTCTTCGAGTTTCTGAAACCTAGGTGTTGGCTTCATCAGAACAATCACGGCTTTATGGAAGAACAGAAAGCTAAGTCCAGAGCAGCAACTGGAACTCTGTGCTAACGTTGAAGCTAACTATCAGTCATGCACAGACTCCTTCGCGGGGATGGAGGAGGCGAACATGGCTCAAGTTTGTGCCTTTGAAATTCCTCTAATGGTAAGTTAATGTAAGTCAATCCGCATTTTGGATAATGCAGATGATGCTATTTTCACTTGATGTGCATAGCAAGACTTCCTCACATGTATTGTTCGTATGTGCAGTCGGATTGTGCAATGTCGCTCTTTGAACAAGGGGGATTGGAGGAGGCCATGGCAGAGAAAATGGGTTATCTAAACTACGTCAGCACTCCGTGGGAGCGTTTAGAGGGTCAAAATGGTGTTCAACGCAGACATACGAGCTACCATTTGAACAGACAGATAAGTCAGTTCGGAAGCAAAGTCTCCTGCATTCAGCAAAGGACAATGTCTGACAGCATGAAGTCATGTGTACTTGACGAAGTTATCACACTTCATGATGTCCCCTTCGGTGACCACTTTCAGGTACTTGGTGTCCTCCATGGTACTCACTTACAACATAATCGTGTAGATTTTAGTTTCAATCTACAAACAGAGGGTTGCTGCCACTAGAGGGACGCAGACACATTTTCAGTAGGTGCTTTGCATGAGTGATATCTGTTGGATATACCTAATGAACACAGAAAAATGACAGACAGCGAAGGATCTTATGGTTCGTACATGCGAACTTGCAAAAACAAATTAACAAACAAGATAAACATGAGCATGCGTCATTGTTTATTGCGTTTTCTTCACATGAAGCCGCGTCTTGGTATCAAAACCCACTAATCCAGCTCCACATTCTTCGCAGGTTCAAGTGAGGCGAGAGATTGAAACGACCTCCACAAACCCACCGCAGAGCTTCGTGAAAGCATCAGTGGGCGTGTCGTGGCACAAGAACACAGAGTTCAAGAAGAAGATCACCAAAAACGTACACGACCACATGGCAAAGGAGATACGAGAGGTCATGAACGTGTGTGTGAAAGAGGTCAAGGCTCGTATCAAAGACAAGAGAATCTCCTTTAATGGATCAAACCATGGTTGTTGAGGTGGTTGCTGGCTGTACCCAGTTCGAAACAGGCGACACAACTGCAGTGATGAGCTGCTGCTGGTGCTGCTGCTGCTGCTGCTTGTCGGTGCAGATCTCGTCATTGTAAACCGTGCCACTTCGGTAGAAGCTAAATGGACTTATCCATTGCTCAACAAATGGGTTGTGTCAAACTATTGCCTACTTTTCAGGCTTCGAAGCTAGTGATCAGCACCTTTAAGAGCTCATGTATGGTTCGGTGGAGACACACTATGTTCCGGCACAATTGTGAGCTAGTTTTGTGCCGAACCTCGTAGAGCTCACCATCATCACAGATGGAGCCCTCTTCCCACACAGCAGCCAAAACAGGCTTGGTATGTGGCCGATTGCTATCAGTCTATAGCACTGCCTTCCGGAGGTGAAGCCTTTGTGGCGCACTTCAATGAAAAAAACTGTTTAACACTTTGTTTATATGGATATATATATATATATATATATATAGATAAATGCTTCAAATGGAGTTCAGAATGTTGTTTTTTATCTGCATGTGTGGATGATCAATTCGGTGTCGATGTGTTATTGTTTTAACAGGCTCACTGTATTTGAAGGTGCACCAGTCGGACACATTGCGAGAAGAAAAAAGAAAAAAGAAAAAAGAAAACTGATAAGTTTTAAATTCTGATTTGCAACTAAGTATTCGAATGCTTAAGTCTTAAAAAATATGGAAATTCCAGTAGGTTACCAAATATAACAAAAAAAAAACTCCTCAAGTTTATCATCTGCAACTCTCGATTTACATGATCTGCAAATTGTACATAACATATGTAGTCAAAGTAATTCAACTCAAGGACTAATCTTAAAGCTATTTAAGGTAGCGAATTAATGCCATATCATTCAAACTTATACTAAATCTATTAACAGAGATACGATGATTAACATTCCACACCATGTTAAATATGAAACTTCACTCTGATCTCGTATACGCAGTAATCTGACGAGAAACTGGATTGCGTACCTCGAAAAATAAAAGCTTCCACAGTCATCGAAACGAATACGTAGGAAACGGAATACGCTACCGCGTCTTCGTGTACAATTACAAGGTATGAATATAATTACAAGTATTATACATCGTACTATATCATAGAGTCCTCCAAGTACAGGCCGCAGTGAAGAGCGTCGCCGAGATCGAGTAACGATGATCTGTGCTGCGTCACAGAGAAGCTGCTGGTCCTACAATTCTGATCGTAAAGGCGTTGCCTGCAAACACGCTCTTCCATCATATTCCGTTCTCGTGTCTTTGTTTCCTTGGCAAGGAGTAGCGATTACTGCCAGAAAAGATTTAGAAGCAATTTGTGGGGAGAGAATGGCAAGTGATCTCTAATGCCCACAAATCGTTGTGTACAAGTGGTGGAGTAGAGGAGAATTTCCAGCACACTGCACGGATTCGTTGCAGATGGACAAATGTCGCTGGTTGTGGCGCCAGCTTGATAGTGCCGGAGACTATTACGTACTACTCTAGTGCGGCAAAAACACCAGCTCGTGATCGTGAGCTCCTTGCCATGGATGCTTCGAATCCCTTCGACTTGCGCTGCTTGCTGGACAATGTGCAGGGCATGGTGGATGCCTTGACCTGCTTGCGTTGGAAGAAGCAGCAGGTCCGTTGTTGCTCCTTGCACAATTCTTGCTTGTTCTTTTCGTCGTTTCTAGGGTTATTGGAATATTGGGGCGTAGTTGATGGTTGGACCGAATCGTCGAAGGTGATATAAATGCGTGGTGGGGTGTTGTGGAAGTATGAGAGGCACGGTGTCCTACGTAAATTGACTAACCTAGTTCACTTTTTAAAACTCTCGATACGATGTCGCTCTGTTTGTTTAGAATGTTTATCAGCTGTTCTGGGCATTTGGATGATAAGTGAACAACTAGTACCCCTCTTGCAAGAACTTCATAGGTGTGCTGCAGGTTTTGTGAAGATTGTCGCTTCTCCTGTTTTTTTAGTTTCATGTTTATACAAACGTGAAATGCCTCCAATGTCTGGATCATGTACCCTACCATGCCCTATCTTCTTTGTTTTTTCCTCCTTGGTATAAGCTCCGTTTCAGTCTGTGATTTTTGTGTAGTTCCTTCGCACGCCATAACTGGCTGCCTCTTCATGGTATTTACAATTAACTACATGTGCTTGAGTATGGGAGTCCGCTATGGTTCACAAGGATAGGATGGATTAAAGAGCAGAAATTATTCTATTATCACATTACCAAATTCTTATAGTTTTACGACATTATATAGCGGTTTAATGCAACAAATGAATGCAGGACTCAATTGTCGAGCTGTCGGATCATGGTTTGGTAATTACGGTGGAGGAGCGGGGTTGTCTGCAGGCGCGGGTGTACTTCCGGAAAGAGGTCAGGAAATTTCTATTTTTGAGTCGCAGCAACTTAAGTTTCTGCTTTCTATTTCAAGAGATAAAATCCCACAGAGCTAATATGTGCATAAGAGCAACACACATATAGTGTGAGGGTCTCCTCAATCTGATTACAGATAATCTTTTAATTTTTCTTATCGACTTTCCAGCCCAGTGTTCTCTTTGAGGCACTGTCAAAACCAAGATATACCCAGTTTTTTGGATTACTTTTCACAAACTCATATACGTCTTAGTTGAAACTCCTAGTCTGTTGATGGCTCGGAACAATAAGAGAATAAGGTATCGTAGTCAGAAACAATATTTAACTGTCAATATGTGCATGGCAGCTATTCCGAGAATATGCATATCAAGCAGAAGTAAGACCAAAATTTGGGATCAGTTTGGGCCTCTTGATCGATTCCCTCAATACTTTCACTTCTTCCACTCGCGCTGCTGCCCTCGAGCTAAGCTATCCGGGGCCTGACATGCAAATGATATTCAAGTAACATACCAATTTATGCTCGAGTTGATAATGCCTTCTTTTCCAGACTTCGTTGTTGATTCCGTGGTCAACCGCTACTGCAATAGATATTTTCCTAGAAATTTCGAGGTCGCAGTGTTTACTGAGATGGTTGGCTTCTACAGATTGGTGGATGCAAACGACTCCTGTATATACGCAGAAATGCGCACACGTATTCCTGACCAAATTCCTCATGATTATGTCATTGAGGATGACGGGGGTACTCCAATTTCCTTTGCAGTGAAGGTATCTTTTTACACATTTGATGCTGATGGAATAATTTATTTGCATTTGAGTAGTTTATGACGTTATCATGAATCCAACGTGAGAATCTTATGTATCAATCAGGGTACTTTGTTCCTGGCCTTTGGTTCTCGATGCCTTGATTGCTAATCATGTGATTCCCGATTATGATGGATTGTGGTTAGTATGCTGGCTGGTTACTCCTTAAAACTTCTTCTCTAACCCACTCCAGACATTGCTCAATATGGGCTGCAGTCCGCAGCATTAAAGGAAGCTCTTGATGACCTGGAGTGGCCAGGTTCGAGTATTGAAATTACAGTCTCTCCAGTACCTCCGAGGGTGACCTTCAGGGGTGATGGGCATGGAGACCTACAGGTATTATGGACTCTCTATCGCGTAATAATGTGCTACTTACACATATCATGTGTTGGCGTGAAGGTTGTGGTTTGGTTTGTAGTCTAATGTTTAAGAGCTCATATCTAAGGAGGTGTTGAAGATTGATGCATATCATAACAATGTTTTAAGATATGGGATTTAATTGACATGTGATTTTTGGGCGGTTGTGTGCGGATGTTGAAACTGGATTTCATGTATGCTATGCTGTTTACAACGATCTCATTGTGTCCTTCGGTTGTAATTTGTAGATTGAGTTTCCTTACGACAGACAACGAGATCTTTTCATAGCCTTCAATTGCCAGCGTGAAATCTCTTACAGGTTATGCAAATGCCCTATCCATGTATGCAACGGGTCTTAAGATTGACTGATTGATATACGTATTTAAACTGGCACCACAACGATGGTATGAAGTATTTATCTAATATTCAATAATTTCATGGTTTTGAATGAGGCAGGTACAAGTACAAGTTCCTGAAAGCAACTACCTCTCAAATCCCAGTGAGCATTTTGAAAGATAATCGCGGCAGCAAGCTAACATTCGGTACTAATGGCCTTCTTAAAGTTCAGCATCTCATTTCTGTGAAACCTTCACCTACTCCGCACCAACACTATTATGACCCGTCACAAGCCCAGGCTCGAGTTTCCTATATAGAGTTCTATGTGCTGCCTGATGTAGACAGTGACGACCCATGAAAGAATCGACTTATGCGGACGTGTAGTTAGCAGGCTTGTATATGTACAATATTGAGTTCAACACCGAATGACAATCATTGTACAGTAATGAACTGTCAAGGTTTCCAAACCTCAGTCAGGTACAAGGTTCTTATGTGATAGTTTTCGTTTGCTTGTAATTGTTGATCAACAAATGTGCCACGAAAGTTGCCACATGTCCTCTTTGCGAAATATTAGAGTCATGGAGTGCCATATTGCTGTCATGCACGCCTGCTAACTTCACACGGCGAATCCAGTCTCGGTGCTTCCTAGAATCCATGGATCATCACAACGGGTTCTCAAAAATTTCGGATTTGAATATTTTGGGGCAATCGAGTTTTGCAAGTAGGCGAATAGATGCAAAGTTAGGCAGATTACTCAAAGGCTAGGAATTTGGAAAACTCCACAAATCCTGCTCTTTCCGGCCAAGTTTACTGACATTACACTTATTACACGAAAAGTATTTTGGCGGGCATTGGAGGAATAGAATAAGTTAAGGAAATTTTATAAGAGAACGCGTGTGACTCAGTATTTTTATTTTATTTTAGGTAATGTATTTGGCTCTAGATATGGTTGTTTGCAAAAAACTATATATATATATATATATATATATATATATGTGTGTGTGTGTGTGAAAGGATTTTTACAAGATTGAGTTTCTTCTCTTACAGGAACAAGTTGATTTTATATATGTAATCATATAATATAATTATTTACCTTATCTAAAAAAAAATTAAACATTTTTCTCAATTTCATTTTCTTCCTTTAATGCCCTCTATTGAAAGTGTTCCAACCCAATTTGTTTCATACGGTTGGAAACGAATACTTCTCTACAAAGACCACATTTCTCTAACACTACCCTTGCTTTGCATTGTTACCAAATGGTTTTATTTTTCTTCATCATGTCAAAGATGAACTATTTCATCGACAAAACAAAGAATGTGATTATTTCATAGACACATTCATACCCTTATTACTTCCACACTACATGTAAGCCTAAAGCACTTAACTATATGTATTATTTATATGTACTAAAAGTATCGATTTCAAATGATAATTAAATTTTTTGTTCTGTGGCTTTCAGGTGAAAAAAGGTTAAAGAGACCTTTCGACAAAGTAGAAATAGCACATGCCATCACCAAGCATACATCACAGCACTGCAGGTTTGAAATTAACAAAATTATAAAGAAAATTTTGTACAATCTGATATCACAGAATCACTATAATAATGTTAGTGAGATGAAGTGTAAAATTCGAATTCAACAGTTTTTCAGTGATTATTAAAAGCAATTTACTGTTGGAACCTCCAGGTTCATGTCTTCCACCCAAATTCGTTCTATCGCGGCATTCAACGCATGCTGTCTATTCTACGAACATTTAGACTCTTTCCTCATTCTATCCATTGCATTATTCTACCTTTCCATGCCTAGCATTTTCTTCTTTTTCTCTCTTTTTACGGAAAGATTAACGTGGACTTTGAAAAGCGGGCTGTAATAAAAACATTGAAGCTTCCGTTACCTCAGAGTGTTCAAAGGTTTGAGCCTCGGTATGATCAAAGGCCTCAGAGACTGGAAGGTGTGATTGTGCCGATAACAGTACCACCAAAATCTTCACTGCCCCTACCTTGAATCTGAACTAATTTAACGATTCCCTGGAAGGTTCTACGATAGAATTGCGATCAAACCAAGCTGTTCATGAAGGTTGACGATTCGTACCAAGTATGAAACCTCAGCAGGTCAATGACATGGTGTACCTTTCCATATTAGAATAGGGCTGCCTTATCGTTGATTTCAAGTGACATGAGAAATCAGATGAAACACGGCATTAACGTAGATCCAGGAGAGAGGTTTCATAGGTACATGGTCTCCATCGCATAGTTTTTCACTAGAATTGTCAGAAATGAGTTGGAGTCAACCTCCTGTGATACACATCTGAACTTTGATACTGTTCGTAACACTAACTTATCGAGTTGGACGCTGGCTAAATTGGCTACATTAGATGTTGGAAAGTTCTGGTGTGTAAGAATGCTATAAACCTCATCAAAACCAAAATGGCAGCCCAGAATGCCAGGGATGCGAATCACAAATGGAAATCCGTGCAATTCCCTAGAAGACGAGAGATACATACAATGTTGCGTAACTACGAGGTATGAAAACGGTATCGTATGCTTTAGAAAAGGCTTAATGTGGGTGGCGAGAGGAATACAAACCAAGGAAAAGGTAGAAATGAAGCACACAAAATTCTAAGTGATGCATTTCCCATCACAATTGGAACGAATCAAATAAAATGCAGAACTCTCGCCCATTCGCGGGAGCTATCAATAAGTAGAACGAAGACAATTACTAGACAGGAACGCGGTACACTATATCATGAATTAACACCACAAAACCCCAACAAGTACCTGATCATCCACAGCCTCCAAGTCCGCATCACAAACTTCGAATTATCTGACATTTCTCTAGTTTCCAGATACTCACCCTGTGTAAGCCCTAAAACTGAAAGAAAGAGTCCCTATGCACCTTACAATATACATTGTGCGAAATACACAAAACTATCCCTAACAATGTCAATACATTCAAACAGTCACAACCGATTTCAATGAAACCTACAATGAAAAGTTATCATGATCTCCTCGACGCATTTAGCATTCAGGTGAAATCTTGCTTGTACAGAAGATTCGCAGAGAAAAATTACAATCCCTTTTTCTCACGCAAACTAGCCTCCATCCTGCAACAGGACTCAATGTCTGCTACTCATCCCTTCTCACCAAGAAACCAGAAAACCCTAATAAACGCACAATCTGGCTAAGACAAATACTTAACTACTCCACCCACGTCATATACCAATTCTCAACCACATCCACAAGGGAAAAACGAAGACAGAGAGAACGACAGTAGGTGGGTGGAGAGAGATAAGCGAGTGTCCTACAAGTCAAGGACAGTGAGACCGGGGGGCAGGGACTGCTTCAATTTATCGGCCTTGTCAGAGTCGAAGACGCAGAGGGTGTAGAGGTACTTGGAGCACCTCACTTTGAACTTGACGACATCCTTGGAGCGTTTAATCTTGACGCTCCGGGCGTCCTTGCGGCGAGCCGTGAGCAGGAAGTCCTTGATCTCACTGATCTGCTTGGCCATTGTGGAGGACGGAGCTGCACAACTCCTGCACGATGAGGACAGAAATGGCGGCCCAGCAAGCAGCTCCCCCTCACAACAACTCCGCAACGCCAACAACAACAAAGAGAGCTAGGGTTTCATAGACCCTGGCCCTTAACCCCCACCCTCACCCATCCCCATCATTCATTCATCATACATATTCATCCATTCATCCGTTCCCACGTTCCCCTCTACTCCAGTCTGTCTTCTTGCTTAGGGTTTCGCTTTGCTCTCATTCTGGGATTACATGCGGCGAGGTGATTAAACCTTTAAAATAAAATATAAATAAATAAAATAATTAATTTATAATTAGAAAAAAATTGGAACATAAACTGATTTTATTTTTCTAATGAATACTATTTATTTATTTAATGTGTCATTGAATCTCATGTAAATTTGGTGTTAAAAAACAAATATAAATAGATAAAATATAGTTAGGATTTTAAAATATAATATGAAATTCAAAGGAATATTTTCTTTTATTTTTTAATATAATTTTAAAAAAAATTAAGATTTTTTTATTATTTTTAATTAAACTAACAAATAAAATACACTTTTGCATTACATGTACAAGTTATTGTAAATTTGTTTCGGGAAATTTTAAGTTTTTTATTGGTATACACATAATATACTAATATTATCATTAACATAATAGATAACCATGCATCAGTTTATTCTTCTTTTAAAGGAGAGTAATTAAAATCTTCAGTTATGTATTAAATATGATGTAATAAATTTGAGTCCTTTTTTATTAGTAGCATATTTTTAATTTTACTAAATATCTATAATGAGTTTCATTTTTCTGTTAATTTGAATAAGATAAAATAATGAAAACCTATGTTATATCATGTATTACAAAATTTAATTTTAGAATATGGTAGTTATAAAAGTCGTGTTAAATTGATTACACATACAAATTGTAATTAATTAATACAGTCAAATTTATAGTAAAGTTTAAAATGTTGTTTTTTAAATAAATAAAAATAGAGAAAGAAAAATTTAGTTTGTGTAATAAATTAATATCTTATAGGAACTAACTAATCTTTATTATAAATCCTAAAATAATTATTAATTACCATCTTTACTATGTAGTTAAATCATTATATCCCTAATTAATCCATAAAACATACACATAACTTTAATAGTTCCTTTTACGTATAGTGCATCTTCTTGCTAGTTTATTATATTATGTATAGCCTTATTTTTGCTATTGACCAACTAAATATAAAGATACAAGCACCCTTACAACATGAAGTTAAAATAATAGAAAACCACTAACTTAATATGAGTACCAAAATAACATCTATTATTATTAAAAAATATATATTTTTATATATTTTTAGAATATAATATTTTAGATTACAAATTCTATTCCATTCCTTCATCATATTTTAATATCCTAAGATACTCATGTTTAACATTTAAAATACACATAATGTTACAAGTATTGTTGCAAAACTACTTTCTTGTAATATCCTAACTTAGACGCATTTTTTAAAATGTGTGATGCCAAAAACAAATTCAATCTAGTAAAAGAAGTTTCACATATGAAAAAAATATATATTTAAATAATTATTACCTTTGTTCTTTGTTTTTCCCCTATTTATGAAGACAATCAGTAAAATATCTATTATTAAGTTTATTTTTATTCCATTGCTATTTCTAAATAAAATCATGTTTAAATGATTTTATTATTTATTCTTATTTAAAATTATCACTATAATAAAAAAAACCCTATCATTAAAAAAAATCTTCTTTAATTATTTTATTAAAGATCTTTTTTCTGCCTTTATTTTTCAATAAAGCAAAAAATAACCTATTATTGTTGTAAACTTTCTAATATGTTAGTGTAAAAACTTTGGCTATGATATCAATGGTTCTTATTTTTAACTTAAAATAAATAGCTATTATTGAGGTTTTATTAAAAATTGATACACTAATAGTTTCACATGAAAGATTAGCTATGTTACAATATGTTACAAAATAAATAAAATTATTTTAAGAGCATTAATGATACATATACACACGCACATATATGTATATATATATATATATATATATATATATATCATGCTTAGGCAATGGAAGTAATAGTTGATTGTTTTATAAGTCATATATAGTTATAGTATTAGTAGAGTTCGTAGTTGGCATTGCCAAATATACTTTTGTTTGTCTTAGTAAAACTTTGAGATGTTTGTAAAGTAATATTTATGTTTTTTGTTATTATTCTTTTAATCAATAACTTATTTTTATAAAAAACCATTTTTCCAACTTCTCATTCATTTTTTTAAAAAATCTTTTACCATGATATTTAAATTTAAATATATATATATATATATATATATATAATTCTTGCTACAATGTCCAAATTAATTTAATTTATTAAAAATAAAATATTTTTATTGAAAGTTATATGTTAAATCTCTTTTTAAATCTTAAAATAATAAATAATATTTTACATCAAAGTAACTTTGTGCATATTGAATGAAAATAGTTTTATTTTACTTTTAGATTGAACATTTTTAACTTACTATTTTGATCCAAAAATATATATATATATATATATATATATATATATATAATGTATACATATAAAAGCTTAATTGTGATTAAATAAAAAAAAATTCTAACAAATCAAACAAACATTCTTCCAGCATCTCTATTATATTTTATACTACACTCAACATATTTTTAAATTTTTAAAGAAATTTCTTTTAGAATGTTGGTTTTTTATTAAAAAATCTTATTATGTTTTTTAATGATTTGAAGATCTAATTACATAAATGTTCAAAGTTTAACTTTTTGGCATTGTACTAAGTTAAAGTAGTATAATTTATAACATTTTTAAAAATAAGATATTAGTTTTAGAGGATCTAATTTGTAACATTCTAAAAGTTTTAGTTGAGTCAAATCACTTTTCTATGTTAATAGGATCATATGTGATGTGTAAACATAAAATATTAGAATCTAATATATTTTTTATATTGTATGAGTGTTTTGTATACTGTCCACTTTAGCATAACAAATTTTCTTGCTATATAAGACCACCCTCATTTAAGATCTAAAAAAATAGCAAAGTAACGTTTATTAGCTTGTTTTAGAATAGAAATGCCATTATATCATAATATACCATCTCTCTAATACTATCTCTCTAGTGACTAACTATATCATCTCTTATATAGTCTTTGTAAAGTTTATCAACTCTAATGCATAGCTAATAGAACTAAATGGTATATGTATGCATATATATATATATATATATATATAGTAATTAAACCTTAGTAAAATATTTCTAAATATATGTGTATTTTACTATGATTTTATAACTTTGTCTCTAATTTTCTAATATTCTAAATAGTCTATGCAAAAGATATATGTGTATATATATATTATTATATATTATTATTGTTTGATAATTTGATCAAGAAAGACTATCTTAATTATGAGAATATTTTGAGATTATTTAAACTATTACATATTACTATATTTAAAAAAACAAAGTTATTTTTTTGTAGCTTGTTTTTAAAAATGTATATGCGAATTATCAAAATCTCTTTAAATCATATCTAATAATTAATCTCTTGTTATCTAGATTGATGTTTTTCAACCATCTCTTCAAAAATTGATATTATTATCTTTTTTATTGTTATAATGCAAAAGGAATATAACTTGTTGCCTCTTTGATTTTTTTAGGTTTGTTTATAAAAACAGTATTATTTTTATACATAACTGATTTATAAAAAAGGTGCTTAATGGAATTGCTTTCTGGTTTTCTCTTTTTGCAACCTTGTAAAGATAAAATTATTACTCTCAATTTTCTACTATGAAAAGTTGATAATATTCACAAACAAAATTAAATCTGGTTGCTTATTCTAGCCCAATTCTTTGCTTCTCAAACTACCAATGTTAAACCAAGTATATATTTTTAGAAAATGTTACTTATCTAATATTATTCTTTTAATGGTCTTGTACAAATATTCATAATAAGTAATTAGTTTAGAACTTTTTTATTTTAAAAAATTCTAAACGTTCTAAAACACCATCAAAGGAACATTTTTGATATTTTAAAATCAACTTCGGTGCTAATAGATTTCAAATACTATAAAAAAATTATAGATTCTATTTTAGATTTTAAATCAATAACCAGAACATCTAATGTTTAAATATATAGATATAGGTATATTTTGGTTTATTTTAAAAATACATTCAATTATATTTAAAAAAATATAAATTAAAAGTTGTGGATTAAGTTTTTTTATAATTTCTTAATTTTATTAAAATAAAAAGTAGCTTAAGTAAATTCTACAAAAGAAAAAAAAGTGAAGATATTTGCGGATTTTGGGCTAATAATAAGAAGTTGAAAGATATTTCAGAGATGATTTCGATATTTAAAATATAATAAAAATAGAAAACTTGGTGAAACTTATGCTTTTAAATTTATTTTAAACCATTGCTATATTAATTTTTTAATTTGCATAATTAGAGGCTTATAAAAGAAAGTACTTTGTTAAGATTGATATACTTGGATAAATTTTTTTTTGAATACATATATATATATATATATGTGTGTGTGTGTGTGTGTGTGTGTATATGTATTAAATTACTAGTTTTTGAGTTATTAAAAAAGAATGATTCATGTCACAGTAATTAATTAAATTTTTAACCATAGAAATATTTTACAAATCTCTCTCTCTGTCTTTCTCTCTCTCTCTCTCTCTCTCTATATATATATATAGAGAGAGAGGGAGACAGAGAGATTATCAGTAAAATAATATTATTTTTCTAATATTATCTTCTAATATTATTTTTTACATGTTAATTTTAGATTTAAAATAATGTGTGAAATATTTTGATTTTTAAATTTCAGCATAAAAACAAAGTAATTTTAGAAATCCATAAATCTTGGTTGCAAAATTTAATATTGCAACATCATACATGTAAAACTATCAAATTTCATATATTTTGTATTATTAATTGCCAAGAGTACACCAAAATCTATAATGTATCCATGAGGTGAGTGCAAATGCAAAATGATAAAACGAAAACCATTTCTCTGGATAATGTTTTTTACCAAAGTATTCTATCTAACTAGATT